TAGTGTGCATTGGTCGATAGATTTAGGGTTTTTTTTAGAGATGGAGATGTAGAAAGAGAAAGGAGAGAGTGACGGAAAACAGTGATGGTGGTAGTGAGTTATTAGAATCATATACGGAGAAGAAAACCGATCTTTCCAATACTCTTGGATCTTTCATTTACAACATAATCAAGCCTCCTAGTTATCTATTGTGGCAGATATGGGTGGCTGAAGGCGGCTTTATAGTGTATTCCAAGTTGGCCGATTAATCGGGGTTGATTTTTATGGCATTCCCTCTTGACCGATTCAATTGGCAGAAATCGTGAGGAATGATGTTCAATTTGTAGTATAGAATTTAGTATTTTTTAGACCGGATAAGATTAGTATTTGTTTCAATGCCTAAAATGATTGTAAATATTCCAGTAAGACTTGTACCTCTCAAAATTCGGCATTTATGGCTAAATGCTTATTAAGGTGAATATATATATATATATATATTATATATATATATATATATATATATATATATATATTATATATATATATATATATATGGGTTAAGTTCAAATGAGAACACTATTTAATGTGAGAACGTGAGAACACTACTTTATGTTACTATTCTACATGAATTTAATATGTATAGTATTGTACTAATTATAATATGAATATATTCAATTTTATATTGCTATTCTACTATAAGATTTTTATATATATATATATATATATATATATATATATATATATATATATGTGTGTGTGTGTGTGTTTGTGTGTGTGTGTAGTAATTTAGTAAATTCTAATGTGAATGTTAAATATGTGATTGTTCATATATTCGGTGATGAATAATGTCATAAAGTTGTACATACAAAATTTTAATGTGAATATTAATGTGTGATTATTCGTATATTTGTTGATGAATAATGTCATATCGTTGTATATATACAAAATTCATAGTAGAATAGTAACATAAAGTAGTGTTTTCACGTTCTCACATTAAATAGTGTTCTCATTTGAACTTAACTCTCTCTCTCTCTCTCTCTCTCTATATATATATATATATATATATATATATATATATATATATATATATATATATATATATATATATATATATATATATGTATGTATGTATGTATATATATATAATTGCTGACTTAAGTCACGTCTTACAAACGACGTGACACGTCACGGCTTGGAAAACTTGAGGCTTGACATTGTCGTCAAGTCACGACTTATATTATTTAGAACTTTAGGTATAACATTTACTCTCAGCCCTTCAGTAGGGACAAATTCTAATTAGAATGCTAAAATTGTAATATAATTAAAAATAAGCAAATTACTAAACTCGTCGTTATGGTTTGTGAAAAATTTTGTTTGATGCCTAATTTTTTTTTTTTACTTCCGGACCTTCCTTAAATTATATTTTGTTAGGTATTTTATCTTGTGAGACAAATAAATTATAATACTCTTTTTTATTTTTTTATTTATTATTTATATATTATTATCTTCTTAACTTTATTTCTATTATTCAATTATTATTCATATTTTACAAATACATGATGGACCGTATATTCGTGTCCCTACTTCTCTCATTGTCGGCAACCATTTCCGTCAACCTCCACTTGGTGTACACCATCTTCAAGCACCTCTTCGTGTAGGTAAACACCCTCATCTACTGGAGATGAAGATGAACAATTGCAATAAGATAAAATGGGACCACTCCTGTACCCCACTCTTTCATCAGTACAATTGACCCACCCCTTTTAAACTCTCCGTAAAGTTGTTTGCATAATCCAAAATGCATCTCATAGATTCCATTTGTAGCTGTTTAGGGCTCCACTGAAGACCGACATCAGCAACCTATGCACCATCGTTGTTCTCGTTTATATATTCAGTCGTTTAGGGATCCACTGGGGATTGAAATCGAAAACCTTTACACCACCAGAGACCCATATTCTCCGGTGACCTCACCTATCTACGTCGCTGCCACCAGAGCAAACAATATGCCATTAGACCGAAGTCTAAACTCCAATTTAGTGTTTGTGTTATTTCTGATTAGATTTGAGCAAACAATTCTTAGGTTAGATCCGTCGGTGCTAACACAAGGTCGACTCAACTAGTTTGGGGAGCTCTAAGCGAACCAAAAATTTGGGGCCCTTTGAGTTTACAAATGGCGGAGTTAATTTTTTTATGTATATGTTTTTGTGAATATATTTTATGAAACATTGTGTTTTAATCAAAAGACATTACATAACTAGATGTCAAACAAGAATCTTATTAAAATCAAAACCAAATATTGAGTCCAAACCACAAAATTCAAATCAAATATCGCATGTTTGATCAAAAAACATGTTCTACCATTATATACCATGTATACATTCCTTCATAAGTTTTGTAGTACTGATGAAGACTTTTCCATATATTGGAGTTTGGAGTTTGGGCCAATCAACCAACCCAAGAGCGAAAAAGCATCAATCTTTTTGAGGAATGATTCACCAAACAAAACAAATTGAAGATTTGAAGTAGTGGGACAAAGCTTATTGGCTTTGCGACCATTATTTCTTTAATCAACAATATCAATTGAGATTTTTAGAACACTGGTTTCAAGCTTTCAGCTAATCGACTATTATTTAACCCCAATTACATAATCAGACAATAGGAAAATCGAAACTCAAAAGGGAAAATACAAGTAGTCATTAGTCAAGTACATTATCGTTTCAAATTAAATGAAGAATCGATTGTTGTGGAGAAACTAAGAGGCGAGAACAACAGTAAGAAGTAGAGAACAATAGCGATTCATTTGACAACAGTGGAACAGTGGAAGAATCGATTGGAGAAGATTAGAAGAAGGCCTGAATCGAGTCCCAGAATAGAGAAAAGAACAGAATGTTGGCGTGTTTCAGTCGACAGCAGCGAGAAGTTTAATCTGGCGTGATTGTAGTCTTTAGAATCGTTGCATGACTTTTTTAGGGCGTGAATAGATGGATAGAAAAGTCTACTGGAATTAACTAGGGCCCTATACAATTTGGGGCTCTAAGCCCTACCTTAACAAATAGAAGCATAAGATCGGCCCTGGTCTTAGCCATCTACGCCACCATCCATCAGAGTTAACACTACCGCCACCAACCCCCACACCCTCCCCTTTCCTCACAGCTTCACGTCTCTGGATCCTCTCTATGAAAAAGATTTCTTTTATCTGTATCTGGATTCTCTTTCTGAAATTAGATTTGAAATTTGGAGTCATATTAGTTCCAAAGAGTGGTAGGTTTTGGTTACGAAGGGGATGTGTTGTTAAAGATCATCACTAGCCCAATAAGAACAAATATTATCTAGAAGAGTTTATCTTCTTCTGGAAAGTTCTAGAAGATTCTAGAACATTATGGAAGACTATGGAAGACTCTGGAATATACCGCAAGAGTCTAGAATACTCTAAAACGACATGGAAGACCCTGGAAGGTTATGGATCATTCTAGAAGACACTGGAGCAACCTAGACCTCTCCAGAACATGATAGAACGTTCTAGAAACATATGGAAGCATGTAGAGTATGTTAGATAATTCTAGAGTTATCTAGTATGTACTAAGTGTATGCTAGTATCTAGAACCTTCCTAAGAGGCCTATAAATAGGTATGGAACTCATTTGCTCCAAACCATCCAAGAAAAGCCTCCAAGTAAGAAAATTGTAGTAGTATCTCAAAGTGTAAAATCTTCTTAAGTGTCTTAATAAAAGTCTTGTTGTTTCCCACATAAAAGAGTTGTGTTCAACATGTGCGAGGGTTGATTTCTTTTGGGCTTGCTGAGATTTTTAGCTGATTTCAGTTGTTCATCTTCATCTCCAGTAGGTGAGGGTGAGAATGAGGGTGGTTATCAACGAGAAGACGTGGTCAGAGATGGTGTCCGGCGAGTGGGTTGACCGAAATAGTTGCCGACAATGAGAGAAGTAGGGGCAAGAATATGTGTTCCATCTTGTATTTGTATTTTTAAAATATAAATAAAAACCGAATAATAAAATTAAAGTTAAAAAAAAAAATCAGTAGAAAAAAAAATAGAAAAGTTCATGCTTTTATGTCATATTCTGCTTATGTGTGATAGGGATGAAATACCTAACAAAATTATAACTTAGGACTTTCCTAGTGGAAAAGAAAAAGGATATAGAGACAAACGTGTAATTTTTTACAAACCACGGAGACATTTCAAAATGTAATTTCCTCATTAAATAATATTTTAGCAGCGACAAGTACTCGCAATAACTCATTCTTGATTAATTAGTTGTTATTGTTTAAGATTGTTGTAGTGTTTGGAAGTTAACAGTTGGCCCGTGTTAGGGTGTGTGGATGTTTGTTTGTATTTCCTTTGATCATTAGTTTCTTGCTATGAGCTTTTTATTCTATATATATTGCATGCGCTTCTTCAAAAAGAGTTTCGTTGCTTTTTAGATAGGAAATAACTACAATAACTACAAATAAATAAAGAAAACACACTCACATCAATGTTAATGTTGAGTCTGAAACCCATGTTAGTTTTGTTCAACTTTCAAGAGCTTCAAACTTACCAGATTGCCTGTTGTTTGTTTTAAAATCATTTTTCTTGGAGTTTTGTACAGATGCATTTGTTGCCGGTTTCTAAGAAAGCCATTGATAGTTCCTCCTTAATTATTAATTATTTTGTCTCTCTTTCTTTTTTATTTGACTTTATGTGACAAAGACCTAATCCTACAAAAACACAAACGGAAGTCGTCCTTGTCATTGACTAAGAGCATGCGCATGGCTTAAGAACTACACAAAAATACCATGTTTTCGATTGTTTAAAGAAACATAACCTGTTTCAACTTATATGAAGTTCTTCCTCTTTGTTTTCTTTAAATTAAATCGTTCTGTATTTCTGGCCACTCATATATGGTTTGAAATACAACTGAACTTTTTCATGTCATTCTAAACACACCTTGCTATTTAAGCCGTCTTTCTACTCCCATCTTTATTTATCTAAGATAATCAATTTCTATTCGTGAGAGGAACATAACTATGGGCTCTGGCATATTTGAATATTTTCATATATTGGATCAACTAAGATCTTACAGTAATGTTCCAAAAGAGTTGATATATTCCTTGCGGCCTTACATCTTACTCATATACAGGTCAGAACAGCAAAACAAGTTCAGTGAACCTATGCCATGGATTGGGATCTATATCACCTTCGCCTCTCTGTTTTGCATCCTTTCAATGGTGGCTGATTTATTACATGGTTTTAGGAACAGAAAATTCTGGTTTCCATGTAAATATTTCACTATCAATGCTGCTTCTCTCACTGTGATAGCTGTTGCAATAAAGCTACCCATGGATCTAACTACTCTAATGCCAGGTTATGTCGACCTAGCTGCAAAAATTGGAAGCCTCTCCTTTATGTGCACTATGATGGCTAATTTATTGCCTTCTTTAGCAACCATGAGCATAAAGGAACTTGTATCAAACATCATAGCTTTAGCTGTCCTCGTAATTACCTTGGTTGTGAACGTCTGCATTCAAATAAACACCGGAGTTATCTCCTATCATGAAGATGATGATCAATACTTTTATACGGTTAATGAAGCAGGAATTTCACAATATAATATGTACACATATACACCCGGTAATGGCTTCATAGCATCACTTTATGTGTTTATGTTACTCTCGTTGCTTATAATATATGCGTGTTCATCTTTAGCAATTATAAAGTCCACACAAATTCTAGAATCAAAATACCAAGTGGCTCATCGTAAAGCTCTAAAGGATGAAGAGTTTCACCAGCCAGGAATATTAACTATTGAGAAGCTAAAGCAGCATGTGAGCAACTACTGGATCATGGCAGGAACCGGAAACCCCAGTTCATGATCGCTTCCTCAGCAACAACCTCAGCTTCTGGGGCAATATGCTCATTAAGCATTGGATTCCACATTCTTATTATGTTTTTCAGTATTCGAACTCTACGGGGCTCTAAGTCAGATTATAAGTGGTCGTTGTTACTGATTCTCTTTACTCAATTCATCGGAATCATACTGGGTACAATTGCCCCACTTTCTAGATGTTTTGCTGCCTTAAGCTTTAGGGTGTCTCTAAAATGGATTGTCAACCATATCAAGATGTCTAACGTGGAGAGCTACTGGACTCAGAAGTTATATGATTGGAAACAGAGTAGCATACCATTCCCATACAGTAGCCGCAAATGCAAGATCGTCATCCAAAGTTTGAAAAATCTGTTTCTCAGCATTTGTATTGGATTCCAGAAAACAGTCGTGGTGGCATGCAAGATGATAAGAGTTATTCCAATTTTCTTTGTCATATGTGTGGTGTACTGTCTACGTTGTTGGAAGTTGTTAAAGGACATGTTTAGTGCCTCGGTACATAATACTGAGCAACTAGGAAAAGATAAAGATCTTAGTGGATATGTTTTGCAACTTCAAGATGATATGGAGTTTGCGGAGAGAACACTGAAAGGAATTTCAAAATCTGTGAACCGCTTGATCCAAAAAGCTGAAAAGCAACAACCCAAGAATCTTATGAAGCTTCTAACAGAATCCAGAGGTTTTGAAGGAGTTGAAAAGTTCGACAGCCATCATGTTCCGTCTTTACTTTCAGAAAAATATCTCCATTGTTGGAGCTTGCCCCTGGTAACTCTGACAACCATTGCCATGTCTCTTCCTAACATCCAAAAGAACATTGTCGATTGCTTGCTAAGTGGTGTGAGTGAAGGTCTTGTATATGTCACACTTGTGGAAGAAAGCCTTAATATTACTGATGATGATGTAAGCATTCAAAAGGCGGCTAAAACTCTATGGGTAGAAGTTGAAGTATACCACAAATGGTTAGGAAACAACCTACCAAAAGCAAATACAACTGAGCAGATTCTTCAATGGTTGAGGGATACAGGTAAAAACGTTGTCAGTGAGGTGGAAAGGGTGGAAAGGACGGATATTGGAGTCCCAAATGATAATTCCAAATACAAGTCTATTTCTGCTAATTCGATGTATCGAATCAGTGAAACAATTTTGTGCTCCTATCATGAGAACATAAGCCAGGTTAGCCAAGAAGAGCTATTTGCAGAATTATTATCAATGATTGCTGACATTTTGGCTGCTTGTCTCACAAACTTACCCCAAGTCATAGCAATGAAATGTCACACAAGTGCCATAGAGAAAAGGGAGGCAAGTGTGCGTGCTGCAGCCCAACTTCTTGGTGAGACTATGCAAATAATCAACATCCTGCAAGATCGAGAACTTCTGAGCTTGATTCGTAACGACATGGCGTTTATTGACAAGTGGCATTCTTACTTAAAGGATCCTTGTCCTTAATAAACCATTTGTGTTTTTCATGTAACTAGGTACGTACGTTTATAAATATTTATATGTAATTTGTATTCCTAAAGCAGTGAATTATGTCATATTTATTTGATTTACATCGTTGGAACCATTTTTGTGACATTAGCATGTTGTTTCAAAGTATTTGTGAAGAAGTTATAATTTTTCCACATATCATTATCATGTATTTTCTTGTTTTACTCGCACTCAGATTGACCATCTTGCAAATTTGATCTAGTACCCATGCCACTAATTTGATTAAGGAATGGTTTTTTGTTTATTTACATATCGTTCATAATTTTCAAAGAAACAGAACTTGTTTGAACAATATCAGCCTCTTCCTTTACTACCTTAAATCCTTCTGCATGGTTTGAAATACAACTAAATTCACTATAAGAATTATCCCATATGATGACGACACCTATACCGACGACAAGTATCGTCGGTAAAAATAAGGCTATACGGACTAATAGTGTTGACCAATTACTTTGACTTCAAAATTTGACCCGACAACTTGTCGTCTGCATAGGTAACATAGGTAAGTTGCAAAATAAAAAATAATTCGTGGGTTTCTGAAAATGTATACTGACGAATTCTCTTCAGTATAGGTGTTGAAAAATCATTTCTCTTTTCTTTATTATCTTGCAGGAAAAAAAATAAACATTGTTGTTTTATTAACTTCTATATTAACGGTATGTTTGTAGAAGTGATTTAATCGAGTATGAATGAAATCGAAGTAGCAAAGTAATAAGAACACCGAGAGTAAATAAGATCTGATTTCAACTCAATTATACTTTCAGGATACAGAGAGAGTTTAGACAGAATACATCAGAAAAAGTTCTCTCTATCTCTAAGTACAACTCTTATTTATAGGAGAATAATTCCGAAAAGTTTTGAATGTTGGTTATCTATTTACCAAGGCATATTAAGTTTCGAAACTGTAATGTCTAGTCCTTAGTATTTTTTGCATACTTTCTATTTCTCCTATAAATAAGAGTTGTACTTAGAGATAGAGAGAACTTTTCTGATGTATTATGTCCAAACTCTCTGAAAGTATAACCGAGCTGAAACCAAATCTTATTTACTCTCGGTGTTCTTATTACTTTGCTACTTTGATTTCATTCGTAGTCGATTAAATCACTTCTACAATGTTGTCGGTATAGAGGTGGGTCAATCTGTGAGATATGTTTTGGTGACGACTTGTCGTCGGGAATATATATTTATATATATATATATATATATATATATATATATATATATATATATATATATATATATATGTGTGTGTGTGTGTGTGTGTTTAGGTTCTATAGAAAACAAAAAAACCCTAAAAATCATAAAAATACATGGAAGATAAAGAAAAACACTCTTGACCAGCGACTTCTCATCACCGCCTTTTGTGCATCATTTCACCGCCGTTCACGGGTATTTTTTCCTCCTTTATTGTTTTGCTGATTTCACTTGGTTTTGGGTGCGATTTTGAGTGGTTTGTGTTTCAATTTCCATTTTATTCGGCCACCATAGTTGTTTTCCAACCTGGTTTTCTTCTTCCTTTTTATTTTACAGATTATTATGTATCAATTTGTGGTTTCTCATGAATTTTGATTTTACTTTTGTTGATTTTTTAGTCACCGGAGGACCACCGACAACCACCTGTCTCCACTCACCACTAAAGGACAGCAGGTGACCCATTTTTTGTTATATTTTGTCACGTCTTTTTTGTTTTCTTAGCATTTTTGTCTTGATTTTGGGTGTTTTTCCGGTGACTACCAACCACTTCGGAACACGGATGGACGTAGGATTTCACAGTAGGAGTTGCATGGGAAAGTCAGGGGTTGCATAGTGGTAGAAAAAATTAAATTTTCGAAAAATTTTCCACTATGGTCAGAAAAATCAGGGGTTGCCGGTGCCACCATGGACCCCCTAGGTTTGCCCCTACATCAGAGGACCACCGACTGGAGATTCGAGCAACCACTCGATCCAGCTACCACGGTACCACCACCAAGGTTTCTAGATTTTGTTTCACTTATGTCATTGATTAGGTTAATTGTAGATGTTAAGTGGTTGTTTTGGTATGATTTTAATCTTGCTTCATGATGTTTTTATGTATTTAGAATTTGCCAAAGCCAAATTCTACTTCAAATGATGATGAAACTCATATTCTATGCTACTTTAGTTGTTGATATGTGTTTGAAACATGTTAAAATTTGGGTATATAATCTGGATGTATATTTTTTGTGTTTAAAAGTGATTAATATGTGTAGTTGTTGGGTGTTTGATTGTATAATCTATATGAACCTAGTATTTGTCTAAATCTGTATGTATCTATATGTAAGTATGTTTGAAACTGAAAATGTATGAATCTATATGAAACTTTAGTTGGAGTGATTTTGTCCTTTTTTTTTTCTTGAATCTGGATGAATACGATTGACAATAAATTGATGAATATGAAACCGGAATTAAAATATGTTTGTCCCTGTTTTATTTATATGGTCTGTATTGTATTTATTTATTTTTTTTAAATAATAGGACCTTTAATAACAAATAGGAAGAAATAAAACTAATAACAAAAAATAAGTGAAGATATAATGCTTTAATAAACATACTAATAAAAGTACGTTGCTTTTATAAAACCTAATTGGAAATATAGTACTATAATTAAAAAAAGGATGTAATTAATAAGAAAATCAAATTAAATGGTACATAATTTAAACCACAATATTATGTAATACAATATTAGAAGTATGATGGTATAATAGAGAACAAACAAACGTATGAAGTTATAATTAACAAAAGTATGAAAACATGTTGAATCATTTATTTTTAGGTTAAGTCACTTCCTTATAATCATCAAGAGCCTAGAAATAACCACCAGGAATTGATTTAGAAATTAATTCGGGTTGTCCCCGTCATGCAACTGCTTTTTTAATATTTTTATCTCATTTAGTATGTGAATGTGTATTTGCATGATTGTTTGTTTAAGAAAGATTTGGTTATCATGATGTGACATACCAAATATGAGAACGCGTTTTCGGATGGCTCCCATGTCGTGACAAGAGTATGGTCACGATGTGACAATAGCTGCAGCCAACGCCTATGATCTTTTAAAGTTTCTTCCGTATATAAAATCTAACCTCAGATTTAGGACATCATTTCCATCCTTCATTACCCTCTATAACCTTGAATCAAACCCTAATACGTTCTTTTTCATTTGTGAGCTTATCATTGGTGTTTTGGTGCATTTAGAAGGAAAAAGAAGGCCTGTGTGATATAGAGAACCTCTTAGCAATCTAGGGGATTTCATTTGATCCATTTATGTACGATTTGAAGTGTTTAAGATGCACGCTTTATATTTCATTCATCTAGATCTAAGCTCCTTGTCCATTTTTCTTCATGATTATGGAAATTTTGATGGAAGGATTCCATAAAGTTGGCAACATTATGGGTCTTTGAGGTCCCTTGAGCGTTGTATATGTTGGATATGAACTTTTGCTATGTTTTGAAGACATTCATATGATTGTGGTTCCATTTTTCATCATTTTGACCTAATATGAGATCAAGACATGCATTGGACATGTATGTCTATAAATCATTGACTTTTAGAGTTTTTTTTGAGTTAGAAGGCCCTCTGGATAGTTAGAATGGATAGCTTAAATGATTAAGTGTTGAATGCATTAAGTTTTCCCAAATTATAGCAGTCACGATGTGGCCATATGGAGGTTACGACGTGACGATGAGATTTCCTGATTGTTTTAGACGGACAATGCTACAACGTGGGGCATGGTCATCGCGACATGACAATGGTTTTGATCGCAACTGAGTTGTTCATAATTGGAGTTTTAGTTTAGGGTTGAGTTCATTAGCCACGATGTAACCATAGGTTGGTCACAACGTGAGTATAAGTTGATGGTGATGTTGGCTCTTGACTTTAACCTGGACCATTGACTTTTGGCAAGGGTTGAATTTTGGTTAAATTGCTAGATCTTAAATATAGACTAAGGTTAGACCTTGTTTGATCCTATTGGTGAGTTGTAGCACCTATTTCGTGGTATTCAATTATGGATTTGTCGGACTTCGTGATAAAGGTAAGTCTTCTCAGTATACTGTGTAGGATGTTAGTTGTCTGTATGACTCTTGCATTTGTATGATGGGTTGGGTTGAGCTTGTTTGTATGTTAAGCGAGGCCTGTTAGTATGATTGGTGGGGCTCAAGATGTGGGTGGGGCCCATTATGATGGTCGATGCCAAATGTTATGAATGGTATGTGGTATTTTGGGTAACTTACTAAGCTTCATGCTAACAGTTTTGTGGTTTAAACATTTCCAGGTACATCCATTTTCAAAGTGACGGGCCCGACTTGACTTCACAACATCCCCTCATAGCTTTTCCGTACTTATTATTATTGTTTTACTCTGATGTTGTGCGATACATTTTAGTCTGTATGGTTTCGGAACCAACGTTTGTATGAATTTGGTGCCTAAACAATGAAAAATTTTATTGGTATTTCTTCGACGTTACACTATGGAGTTAAGGGGAAATGCTGTTGATTTTTTGTCAAACAAACGATGATGTAATACACATTTACATATGAGATCAAGTATTTCAAAATTGGATTTAGCCTACCCTTGTTAATACTCCATCCGTTCCATCCAATTTTTGCTTCTTGACTCAAGTATATATCTCTTAATATACTTGCAAATACTTTATCCATTTCGTTCGATTTTACTTCTAGTAGACTAAATATTAAAATCTAACTTATGTTTTATAGCCCAAATACAATCTAACTTTCAATAAGTATGTATACAATGTAATTTTTAATAATGAAATAGTAATGACGATCAATAAGAGTTGGATTATAGAGAAGAAGCAAATGTCTTCAAAGTTCTTGGAAGGTCTTGATAACTCTATGAAGATTGCTTAGAAACATGTCAACTATGAAGAAATATTGTATTGCCTGTGCAATATGTGTGTAGATATTTATCGGTAGATGTTGCC